CCCCGCCACATCCCCAACACATCCCGCCACATCCCCGACACATCCCGGCACATCCCCGACATTTTTCTGGAAATCTCATCCACCAATATCTTTCAGCGGAGTGTTCCGCTCATGAGAGCAACAAGTTCTGTATATACAAAATGTCGACTCACCATGTTTTTTTCGGAAAGATAGTTTTGCCTCAAGTGACTGTGTACTGTGCTTTGAAGACTTGAAGGTTTCCATGGCAGACGATGCGCAGCGTGATCATGTCACACGCCATCTTTGCAAGGCATCAGTGCCGACTGATGATGCCGTTCACAAGAATGGTCAAGCTTGGCACTGCAAGCAGTGCAAATGTTTGGGCGCCATGCTGCGAAGGAACCAGAGCCCTTGGCCATCTCCAGAGTTCATGGAGTGCTCGCCGGAAGAGCAGGCAGACTTCTTCATGAAGAACGCCCAGGTGAATGACTGCAGCGGTCGTATGCAATGGAAGGTTGTGAAATGCAGTTGGATCGAAGTCATTTCAAAGCGCCGCAGAACAGTTTTCAACTGAGATTCGTGGACGCTTTCTTCCACTATCCGTATGGGAAAGCAAGGCTACGACGTTGACGTCATCCAAAGTCAAGCTGAGGAAGAGCTACACCCGGTCCTCGGACGGACCTTCTGGTTGAATTTGAAGGAAGTGAACTACAAAGACATCACGGAAAAGTAACTGAGGATGTACTGTCTTGTGAAAGGCAGGTCAGGGCAAACGCCAAGTCCAAAGCCAAGGGAAAGAAGAAGGGTGGCCAAGGTGACGGTGATGACTTGTTCCTCGTTTCAAGTGAAAGTGATGTGGAGGTGGTTCGCGTGGAGAAGGACAAGGCCAAGGGCAAGGAGACTGCAGACGCAGAGAAGACAGCGCGCTCTGTGACGGCTACAACTTCCAAGGCCTTGCCAGGCTTGCTCAGCGCTTTGCTTGATGTAGACCCAGCCGCAAAGGACGCAGAGCTTTACGCGCAAACCTCGCTGAAGGGAAAGCTTGCAGAAGAGTTTATCGCCTCGCTCAAGGAGGCTTCCAAAAGCTTGGGGAAGAAGCAAGAAGAGGCCGCTGAAAAAAATATCCCGGGTCACTCGAGGAGTTGATGTCCTGCCGGTGGCTTGGACTCTGGCAGAATGCCAAGCAGACATCAAGGCTGCAATAGCTCAGGCGACGAACTACAAGCAAGAAGTGAAACGCTTGAGGAAACTTGACAGGGGAAAGACCTCCTCGAACCAGCCTGAAGGTGAGGCAGAGCCCAAGAGGAGGCGCAGGGAGCCAGACTGCACCAACGCCAAAGGCGAAGGCGAAGTCTTAGGGGGTTTTGGATGGATCTGTACACATTCATCCATGCGTTGCAAACATGGTCGTTTCCGACCGTGCGTTCTTTCAAGAAAATTTGAACTTTGAAGAAGCTTGGGGGGAAGAGAAAAACATGTTCTCAGCAATGTCTCCGCTCATGGAGTTGTAGTGACAATGTTTGAAGCCCCCTCAAGAGGTTTGTTGAGCCTTTGGTGGAAGAAACAAAGCATGTCCTCAGCGGTGTATCCGCTCATGGAGTTGTATAGTTTGAAGCCCCC